TGATGGTGGTGATGGTGATTATGACTATGGTGATAGCAAGCGCCTTCCTGGTGTCAAGGGCTACTCGGTAGATCCTCGCGGATTTCAGGACGGCGTTTGGCCATCCAAATATCACTGTTCTTCAAAGGATTCAAACGTCCTCGGGCCGAGCGCACTTGAGACAAATTACTCTTCGTGTGGAATGCGACAAAACAATTGAAACCGCGTGCTTCCAACATTATCCCCACCCGCAATGTCGCCGGGAGGTCCCGCGAGGGCGTCCTGGGGATCGTGACCTCCCCCCTGGGGGCCCCCTTGGTGGGCAAAGAGAACAGGGGGGTGTCCCCCTGCACAAAGCCAGAACTCAAGACCCCTCCCCCCGCCACCACCCCCGTGGACAAGGGGACCACTACCACCCCTCCCTCCTCCCAGACCCCCTCCCCTGGAGGCACTCTCTTCACTCTTATATGTTGTTGCGGGGTGCTGCGAATCATCGCACGTGCCTGTAAGGGGTCTCAGATACGCTCCGAAGCGGCTCCAATTAACCACAGAGCTCCCCCATAAGTCCCTGGAAGTCCCTCAAGAGGCCTCAGCCCAACATGCCCCCCAAAAAACTCCAAGGAGGGCTCCAGAGCGTCAGCGTCGTCGTCGTCGCCGCCATCGCCGTCGCCGCCGTCGTCGGCTCTCTTCAGAATCGACAGCACCGGCCACAAGGCCCCCCCAATCGTGCGTCTACAGCATCATCCCCACCCGCACACCACGCCCAGACTTGCAACATTGTCACCCGTGGCACTGCCGCAACGTGTGCCAAGCGCTGTGGAATCAAAGAAGGCTGGCAATACACACGAAAACTGTGATAAAAACCGTCATTATCCGTCATTGGCAGCTGCAGCATGCCACGCTCTCGGAATAATGGTGCAATTAACGGATCACCTAAGCGAGGTTTCGCCATGCCGAATCTAGAAGGGTGTCCTGCGAATTCGCTCCTTTCGTGTGAAGAACCTTCCTCTTGGTATCGCGATAAGCCTCGTCAACCTGAGGACGTACGATCCAAACATCTGGTAAGTACATACCGTGGACAAGCAAACAGAAGATCCCATCCACTATTTTGACGCGGTGTTGCTACGTGTTCACTGTTGTGATGAAGCCTTATGTGGTGTTGCACGAAGAAGTCTACAAAGGCCTCGGGGCGCAGGGCAGCGCGATGCGTGGTTGTTTGGTTGATGACGATGACGAAATGCCAGAACTCTGCTGGGGACCCTAGATCTGCGCATGCAAATACGTATGCCAATGTGGAAGGAATTCGTCGGAGCACAGATAAGCCGCTAGAGCCATCTTACCCCGCGTGTCAGGCACAGCCTTATCGAAATACCCTCAGCAACACGTAGCCAAGAGCACTGTAAGCAAGGGCGTTCTACGCGAGGAGGTTCTTCGCGATGCATCGGGCTTCTATGTGCCCGACCATGTCGAGAAACTTGTCGCGGGGGGGGGAGACCTCCCTAGCCCTCCAAAGCCAGCGTGGCTGCCCTTTCCGAAGAAACAAAAAAACGCGAACTTAGAAGTGCCGAACAAACTTTACCGACATGCACCGGAACAGCAGCAACTTCGCAAATCCGAACAAAAATAATACCGCCTTCTTGCGCGTGGCCTGGAGACCCGTCACCTGGGCAACGCGCCCCACGCAATCCATGACCGCTGGCACTGTCCCAATCAGGTCCGCACCATGAGCAAAAGCGGAAGCCGTTGGCTCAGGGCATGGAGGTGTTTGCAAAGCCACCAAAACGCAGGGTCGAACGCGATCGCAAACAACATTCCGAATAATGGACACTGTTGTTTTGGAGGGCGCGCCATTGGTAGGAACAGAAGGGGGTTCCGCGCCGCCACCCTCTTTTCCCAACCCGTCGTCTGAGAGGCCATCCTACTGAGGGGGCGAGCCACCTCCTCCTATTCCTGTCGGGCCGGAAAGTGGACCGCCCCTCCCGGGCCCGGAAATGGTCCCCCGCCCTCCCCGCCATGGGCCCCTAGGCCCCGCCCGCAATGCCCGAGCCCCAACGCCCGAATCCCAACCCTCTTTCTCGACCCCGGCCCGGACCCCGAACGCCCCCAACTGCAATCCTCAGCGCTAATCCTAAACCCTTACACTAACACCCACGCCCGAACTCGCTAACCCCACTGCGCTCAATCGCGGATATGAAGCACGCGACCCTGACCCTGACACTCTGACGCCGAACCCTGGTCCTAAGCACTCAGCCTCAACATCGGCTCACTTAGTTCTCGCGCCGCCATCCTGAACCCCTACCCGAATCCTAAGCGCTAGCCCAAATGGCCAAACCCTGACCCGAATGCCGACACTAACGCGAACACAGGAGAACCCGAACAGCCACGCACCAAATGTCACCACCCCACCTGATTCCACCGCCCCAACCCTAACAAAACGCCCAACACCAAGCAAACGCCCGAACCGTAAGCCCTCGTCCAAAAATCTAGCGCTCTTACCCTTGCACCAGAAACCACAATGCCGCAACCCGAATGCCGTGAATCCTGACACCTATCCACAACTCCCTAAATTCTAACTCTTACCAATACACCGCAACCATAACCCAAAGCACTCAACCCCGACGCCCTCGCTCTAATTCCAAGCACTAAACCCTCGCGCCATGCCCCTGGCGCATCAAGCCCGCAGGCCTGAAGGCCAAACCCAAAACCCTCGCCATGGCCCCCCAAGCCCTGAACCTGGCGCGCTAAACCCTCGCACCTGACCTTAACCCTAAGCGCCGAGCCAATTTCGAACGCGCCAACCCATGCTCAGACGCCCTACTTTGCAGGATCCCCCGCGAAACATCCGAACTACAACACCTTCACATTTTTCTACGAGCAACGATATGTCGCTCGCAAGCCCGCACCGGGCGCCAGCACCAAGGCGCGCGCGGATTGAGAGGGCGCCCCGCTCGACGGAGCTCGACTGCGCGGCGGCTCTGGCAACGCGCCTAGACGCTCTGACGCAGTAGTCGAAACCCCGGCAATATCGGGCGGTAGCCCCGTTGAAAATACACACCCGCCTACGCGACGAAGGTTCTGCGATGCAATCCGCGGGGCGCGAACTTGGCAATGCAAAATCGCCCCAGTGCCCATATGATACACGATAAGCTGTAAGCGGCGCCCCCTGTCCGGCCTGCGTTAGCCAGCAAATCCAGCGCGAAGAACTGCCTGAACAGTCCTGGACTTCCCCCCCGCGATGCGCCGATGCAACGGTCGCCCCCAGAGACGGGCGAAGCTAGCAAGCGAACTGAGGGGGGCCCCGCGCTTCGCTCGATCGCGAGGCGAAGGCGCGAAGTAACGGCGCGTCCGCGCCATGCACGCGGCGCGTCGGTCGTGGAGCGACGCGCGGCGCGATGGGGCGAAAGGACGCAATGCGCGCGCTCCGTTCGCGGAAGAGGGAGAAGAGCACGAGGGCAATGTGGCCCGTGTCCTTGGGTTGTTCCACGGATGGCGACGCGGCGAGATGGCCGCGGCGAGACGGCCGCGCGGCTTCGACCATGCTTCGTTCGCCCAACGAAAGGCAAAGCGATCTAGCGGGGTTCTCCCTGACGCCCTCAGCTAAACCAAAGCGCGCTCAACTTCGTTCTCGAAGCCATTCTGACTAGTGACTCAAGGCAGCCAAGCGGGGATCCATTGGACTCCGGGGCAAACATCGCGCGCGCAGAGATGTGACAGCACGGTTCATGCAAATCCAACGCGGCTGCTTGCTCAGCTGCCGCGTACTGAGGGGAAACGCATCTAGTCCGTCAACACCTGGCAAGTCTGCATGAAAACCATTGCCCTGGGGCTGCTCGCGGGGCAACCGTGGAAACCATCGCCCTGAGAGACCCCGCGGAACTGGGCGGGGGACCTCCGAGAGAGACTGGGCGAGGGCCCCAGGCTCCAGCGAGGGGGCGGGGTCAACGCGGCGGCCGCCATCGCTGTCGTCCTGGATTGTGCGGTCGCCGCCGACCGTGGACAGACGGTCGAGATCAAGCGGAGAGGGTTCGGGCAGCAGCGGACATCGGGCGCCGCACCTCAAAGTGCAAAAAAGTTTGGCCCAACGCGGGTTCCTGACCGTCAGCCAGCCTGACTTTCCGCGCATGCGAGCAAGCGATGCATGCGCCAGCCAAACAGATGATGAGGCCATCGGCCCTGCTTCAGTGCAGCCGCCAGTAGGAGAACTATGGTGACAGGAACCCATACTACATATATATATATATATATATATATATACACGAATCAAACGCATGTCGGAGCATTGAGAAACCATTCGGAACATCGTGCGCTTCTTGACTCTTGACAGCGTCGAACTTGCCGAGGGGCTAGCGGCATTTACCAAAACGATCGAATTGTTCACTGCGGCCCCCCAACAAACGCCAACAAGTGCACCCGGAACCCAGGATGCGAAACTGAGAGCCCGACGAATGATGAACAGGGCCAACGGAGGCCTCTCGCCGAATAGGACGGGCGGGGTTCCGCCCTCACCCCCTCCAAAGACAGCCGCACGGCCGTAGTTGAGCCGAGCAGCCGGAACACATTGCACTTGTAAGAGACGCCCCAATAATTTGTACCTAAACGCACTTGCCCAGCGACTCGCTAAAGGCCAGGTAAGTCCCGAAACGCGCAATGTTGGCAACGTTAGGGGTGATGCCAAA